AGCCGTGCGTCACGCGGTGGCGCGTCGACCGCGTCGCGCCGTGCTCGAGGCACGGGCGCGTGACGTTGATGGACTTCGCCCCGGAGACGGGCCGCACGCATCAGCTCAGGAGGCACGCGGCGGAGAGCTTGAGGTGTCCGATCGTCGGGGATTTTAGGTATACCAAAAAGACGCAACCGGCCTTCGCGCGGTGCGACGGCTGCGACGAGGAGGACCTCCCACGAGGCGTGAGGTGCGCGTCGTGGAGCGGGTTCGCCCCGGAGGCGGTGCACGGCGTCGTGCCTCCGTCCGCGCACGGCGACGGCGGCGATGACGACGACGACGACGACGGGTGGTTGCGCGTGCGCATCGACGACCCGGAGAAGTTCGCGAGAAGGCTCGGGGGCGTCGTCGTCGCGTAAGGAGGAGTTTTGGTAGGGCGGGGTCGCCGTAGTTCTGTTCGTTCTCGGAACGTCTCGCACTCGTCGTCGTCGCGTCTTCTTCTTCTTCTTCTTCTTCTTCTTCGTCCTTCGCGTCGCGTCACTACTTCAGGGCACCGTCGTCGTCGTCGTCGTCGTCGTCGCCGCCGCCGCAGCGCGCGCACGGCGGCACGACGCCGTGCACCGCCTCCGGGACGAACCCGCACCACGACGCGCACCCAACGCCTCGTGGGAAGTCCTCCTCCTCGCAGCCTTCGCACAGCGCGACGACCGGTCGCGTCGCGGACGGGACCCAGCGGCACCAGTCCTCGCAGCACACCTCGCCATCCTCCTCGCACGCCGCGCGCGTTTCGTCGAACGCGGCGGCGGGGTCGTCGCCGCACGCGTCGCAGCGCGTTACTTCCGCGCGGGCGTCGGGCTCGACCTGCGCGCAAAAGGGCGCGCACTCCGCGGCGGCTCCGGGGACGGCGAGGAGCGCGGCGGCGGCGGCGGCGGCGGCGACGAGGGACGCGAGCGCGACGCGGGGGCGGATCTTGAACGTCATGGTGGGAGCGCGCGCGGGTGTTGGGGGCGTCCGCGCGGCGCGAGCGCGGGCGCTCCCTTCCCTCGGCGCGTCCGAGGACGAGCCTCGCGAACTGAAGAGCGCGAAAGAATCGTTCGATAACAGAAAGTTTCGTCTAGTAGTCCTTCGCGCCGTCGTCGCCCCCTCCGCTCTCCTTCGCGACGTCGCCCTCCTCGTCCGCCGTCCCCTCCTGCGTCGACACCCCGCTCGCGAACCCGCTCTCGGACTGCGACTGCCCGCTGTAGATGAACTCCCGCACGCGGCCGATCCCGCGCCGCGCCGCCTGCATCACGTTGTTGAAAGACGACGACCGACGCGCCGCCGCGGGGTCGTCGAGACTCCGTCGCCGCGTCTCCGCTTCCATCGCGGGGGGAACGTCTCCTCCCGTCTCCGGGGCCGGGGCCGGGGACGGGGACGGGGACGGGGACGGGGACGGGGACGGGGACGTCTCCTCGATCGTCTTCTCTCTCGGCGGCGTCTTCGTCACCGTCGTCGTCGTCGTCGTCTTCGTCGTCGTCGTCGTCGTCGCGACGACTCCCGGGGCGAGGGCGGCGGCGGCGCCGAAGAGACCGCGGCCTTGCGGCGTCGACGCGCTTCTGTACCCGGCGGACGACGGAAACGTCATCATCGACGCGCCCTCCACGCCCTCCACCTCCCGCGGTCGTCGCCCGAACACGCGCGGCGACCCTTCCCACGCCGTTCCCTTCGGCGTCGGCGGGTCCGGCGCTTTCGCCGCCTCCCCCGCGTCGTCGACGGCGGAGCGGTCGCGTTCGCGATCGGGATCCGTCGTCGTCTCCGACTCCGCGTCGGCGTCGCCGCCGCTGCTCGGGCTCGGTCGGTCCGCGCCCGCGCCTCGCGTCCCCCAGGGTCCCCCGCAGTGCGACACCACCCACTCGTGCTCGTGCGCCAGCCTCGCGGTAAACCGCGTCTTCGGGTCCTTCCGAAGGCACCCCAAGATGAAGTCCTCCGCCTCCGAGCTCACCCACCGCGGGATCTCCACGCGCCCGCGCAGAATGTTGTCGTACGTCTCTCGCGTGGACGCGCCCTCGAACGGCGCCTTCCCGGTGAGGCACTCGTACGCGAGCACGCCGATCGCCCAGATGTCCACTTCCGGGCCGTACCCGCTCACGCCGAGCGCGCGGAGTTCGTCCCTGCGCGCTTTATCGCACAACACAATCTCGGGAGCCATGTAATCGGTGGTCCCCAGCCGCGTGACCAATCGATTCTTCGTGTAATCCACCGCGAAGCCGAAATCGGTCAGCTTGCACCCGGCGCCCGCCTCCCCCGCGAGCAAGTTCTCCGGCTTGATGTCCCTGTGCGCGATCCCGCGCTGATGCAAGTACGCGACCGCGCGCGTGACCGGACGAATGATCTCCCTGCACGTGCGTTCCTCCGAGAGCGTCCCGCCCGCGGCGCCGAACAAGCTGAAGACGTCGCCGCGTCGCGCGAACTCGTGCAGCAGGTAGACGTTCCCGCGGTCGTCCTCGAACGAGCCGTAGAAGGCGCATATGCTCGGGTCGCTCACGGACGCGTGGACCTCAATCTCGCGTCGTATTTGATTCAGCGTGAACGCGTCGAGCTTACTCCGCAGGTAGCACTTCAGCGCGAGCTCCATCCCCGTCGACGCGTGCTGCGCGCGGTGCACCACGGAGAGCCGCGACGACCCGACGCGTTCGAAGATCCGAAAGTCGCGCAGCGACCACGCGTTCGACGGCGGCGGCGTCGACGTCGACGGCGAGCTCGCGGCGGCGTCGACGACGACGTCGTCGTCGTCGTCGTCGCGCGCGAGCTCGCGGTCGCGGTCGCGCGCGGAGGGGGACTTCGCGGCGGACGACGACTGCGGGGACGTCCCGCCGCTCCCCGGCGTGGACGGGCGGCTCGCGAGCGATGGGTCGTGGTCCACCGCGCTGATTCGCGTCGGGGAGTCCGCCGCCGCGTCGACGCCGCTGTGCTTCTCCGCGCGCGTCGACGCGGCGAGCGACGCGGCGTCGTTGAGTTTCAGCGCGTGAAGCGCGCTGGAGACGTCCGCCTGATGATGGACGGAGGACGTTGTTAGGGGGGGCGGGGACGTTGTTAGGTATTTCGGCGGCGACGTGTCGGAGCGCGAGCGAGGCGACGGAATCCGCCCCGCCGGGGCGGGGGGACGGGGGGGGGCGCGCGGGCGGGCGGGGCGTCCACGAGACGCACCATGGCGTCGCCGCGCGTCCTCTACCGCCGAGACGTCCGCGCGCGCGAAGTCGTCGTGTTTCCTGTCGCGATGCGGCGCCGCTCGTGACAGCCCCCGCGGGGCGCTTCGGTGTGACCACGTCGACGCTTTTCCGCGAAAAAGCGCTCCAGGATCGTCCATCACTCCGCCGCGCCGTCGTTCGACGCTCGGCGGGGCGTCGCGGCGTCAGTCTACGTCGCGCCGATGCCGCCCGAGGACGGCTCGGGGAAGTCGACGAAGAAGCGACGTTTAGATGCGCTAGAGTCGAGGTTCAAGGGCGCCGCGCGCGGCGGCGTCGCGGGCGCGTCGACCGCGTCGACGCGGCCGGGGCGACAACAACATCCGAACGCGCGACCGCATCGTCCGCATCCCGCGGGCGGCCGCGGCCGCGGGCCGCACGCCCCCGGCGCGCGCGGCTTCCACGGCGAGAGGGCTTCTTCCGCGGCGCGCGGACCGCCAGGCGGCCGCGGCCGCGGGGGAGGACGACGCGCCCGGGACGACGCGGGAGGGAACCGAGACGGTGGCCTCGTCGGCGGGTTCCGAGGTCGCCGCGACGGCGACGGCGACGGCGACGACGCGAGGAACGACCCGGACGACGCGTGGTACGCGCGGTTAGGCGCGCGCGCGAGCGATGGCGTCATGGCCTCCGCGCACGCGCTTTCGACGCCGGCGTCGTTGCGCCGCGACGCCGCGTCGACGGCGGCGATGGAGGGGGACGGAGTAGGAGGGAACGACGACGACGTCATCAGAGGCGAAGAAGCGCGGCGCGCGTTCGTCTGGCAGCACCTGCGCGATCTCGTCTCCACGAACCCCAAGTCCGGCGCGGACGCGGAGGCGGTGATCGCGTCGAAGACGAAGGACAAGGTCCTGCTGTTAGACAGCGCGACCGGGGCGTTCAGCGCGGAGGACGTCGCGAAGGCGAAGAGAACGCGCGGCGACGGCGCCGCCGCCGCCGCCGGTCGCCGGAGAGCGCTGAGCTCGACGCAGAAGAAACGCGCGGGGTTGACGTCCATACCCGCGGACAAGCGCAAGGCGTCGATGTACGCGCCGTTGAAGGAGCTGTGGGTGAAGTACGCGACCGGGTTGCTCGAAGGCGGCGCCGGCGGGAAGGGCCTCGGCCGCGGCCGCGACGGCGACCAAAAAAATGCCGCCGCCGCCGCCGCCGCCGCCGCGGGCGTCTCGCGCGGCGCGCTCGCGAGGCTCAAAGCCGCGGAGTTGCGCGGCGCGGAGGTTCGCGTGGACGCGTGCGCGCGGCCATCGCTCGCGGGTATCGTCGGCGTCGTCGTGAGGGACACTGCGAAGACGCTGCAGCTCGTGACGTCGAGAGACGTCGTCGTCGTCGTCCCGAAAGCCGGCGCGACGTTTTCATTCGCGGCGCCCGTCGTCGTCGGGGACGGCGGCGGGGGCGCCGCCGGGGGCGCGGGGGCGACCGCGCCGCGCGTCGTGCTGCGCGGGGAGGATCTCGCGCGAGGGTAGTCAGTAGCGCGCGTAGCGAGGGATGTGGTGAATAGACGGTACACTTCGCGCGCGGCGTCCGGTGGGCGCTTCCGTTTCGGTCGAGCGGGCGTACTTGCCGTTGTTCTCGAAGCCGACGAACGATTGATTCCTTCGTCAGACTTCGTTCGCGCCCGCGCCCGGCCGTCGCGCGTCGTCGCCGTCGCGATGCTTCAGGCCATCGCGGCGAGGGCGAAGGCGGAGGCCGCGAAGGTGAAGCACGCGGTCGGCCAGGCTGTCGGGGAGATCATCGACGACGCGAAGGTCGCCGCCGCGGACTTCAAAGAGTACCGCGGCGACGACGACGACGACGACGCGTGGAGCGAAGACGAAGACGACGCGATCTCCGACGGCGAGCTCACCGGGGACGTCGCGATCGAGGACGAGGACGGCGAGGACGACGGCGAGGACGACGGCGGCGCGGCCCCGGGCGGCGCGCTCGCCGCGCTGAGGGCGAGGCTCGCCGCGGAGAAGGACCGCGCGAGCGTCGAACGCGCGGAGATCGAGATCGCGCGCTCGGCACCCGCGGCGCCCGCGCCACCTCCTCCGGTCGCGGTCGTCGCGTCCGTCGCGCCGCCTCCGCCTCCGCCGGCGGCGCGGCCGCCGCCTCCCGCGCGTCAGCCGCCGCCGCCGCCGCAGCAGCAGCAGCAGCAGCAGCAGCGCGCGGCGCCCGTCGTCGAGCCCGCGTCCTCACGCGCCGGTCCCGACGCCGACGCCGACGCCGTCGCCGACGCCGTCGCGAACGCGAACGCGGCGACGGAACGAGACGCCGCCGTCGCCGCCGCCGTCGCCGCGGCCGTCGCCGCGGCCGTAGAGAGAGAGCAGCTCAAGGCGGTCGCGATGCTAGAAGCCGCCGCGGAGAGCGGGGACAACGACGTCGCGACGTACAAGGACGAGCTGAACGAGGCGTACGCGGAGATTGACGCTCTGCGACGAGCGCGGAACGAGGTGCTTCAAACAGCGTCGGACGCGGACGACGCCGCGAACGACGCGGAGAAACGCGCGGCGGAGGCGGAGGAGAGGACGCGCGAGCTCGAGGAGCTCGTGCGCGTCGCGGAGGAGGCGAGGGCGGACGCGGAGGCGAGGGCGGCGAGCAGCGCGACCGCGGCGGCGGCGGCGGCGGCTGCGGCGGAAGAGGAGAACCGACCGCGACCGGCGGCGCCGAACGACGACGCGGTGGCGCTCGAAGCGACGCGGCGCCGCCTCGACGAGGTCGAGACCGCGCTCGCGGCGCGGGTCGAGACGTCCCAGGAGACAGAGCGGCGGTACCGCGCCGCGTCGGCGTCGCTCGCGGCGGCGGAGGCGAGCGCGACGGAGCTCCGCGCCGCGCTCTCCGCGGCGGCGACGGAGAACGAGAAGAAAGAAATAGAGCTCGTCCGCCTCCGCCGGCATCTGCTGGACATGGAAGAAGAGGACGACACGAAAGCGGACGCGGTCGAGGAGCACGTCGCGGCGGTGGAGGACCAGCACCGAGCCGAGATTGGGAGTAAAGACGTCGCGCTTAAAGCCGCGGAGAGGGAAATTCTCGTCATGCGCGAGGCGATGAGCGCGAAGGACGCCGAGTGCGCGAACCTTCAGCTCGCGCTCGAGTGCTTCAACAACGAGGTCGACGCGAGCGAGCGACGCGTCGCGGAGGCGGCGGCGCTTCGCGAGAAGAACCGCGCGCTCGCCGCGGAGCTCGCCGCCGCGAACCGCGCGGCGGTCACGGCGGAGGAGAAGGCGGCGGCGGCGGCGGCGGCGCTCGGCGTCTCCGAGCGGCGAGAGGCGGACGCCAAGCTCGCGGCGCAGCGCGCGATCGGCGACGCGTCGAAAGCGCGGCAGGCGCTCGCGGCGTCTCTCGAGAACGCGCGGCACCTGATGTCGGAGACCAAAGACGAGCTCATCGACAAGCGCATCGTGAGCAAGCTCCTCGCGACGTACTTCGAGAGGGACCAGTCCCCGGAGGTGTTGCTCCTCATGGCGTCGATGCTGAGCCTGACGCCGGAGCAGAAGACCGTCTTAGGCCCAGCGCTGCGGCGCAGACGCGGCGGCGGGCTCGTCGGCGGCATCGCGCGCGCGCCCGGGAGGCTGCTCGGCGGCGCGTTGGGGGTGGCCGCCGCGGTGGCGTCGATGCCCGTCAGAGCCGCGGACGCGTTGACGCCCGAGGACGTCAAGCGTCAGACGCCGGGGGGGAAGATCATCACGGACCAGTGGGTGGACTTTCTCCTGTCGCAGATGGACGAGGAGGAGGATGAGGGTGAGACGAGCGGCGAGGCGAGGGCAGGCGCCGCGGGCGCGAGCGCGTAGAGAGGGACGGACGCCGCGCGGTAGTCGAAGTAGCGAGTAGATGGGCGAAAAACAGCAATCGTCAGAGCCCGGTTCTAGGGCTACCGGTCAGGTCGCGCTCGCGTCAAACGGCGGTTTCTGAATCTGGTTCCTAAAGCAGGCTCTCCAATCCGGTTCCGCGAGGCCCGCCCGCCGCGGTCGTCACTTCGAGCGGCACGACGCGCGGTGGTTCGCACTCGCGTCGCTCAGCACTCGCAGGCGAGTCGAGCCGAGCCGGCGCGCGCGCGTAGACCGCTCATCGCGCGCGACGCGCGGACCAGACCGTCCGCGCGAGGCGACGCGACGTTCATATCATCATCCGTCGTCGCGCGCGGAGCAAGACTGCTTCCCATACGACCCCGTTCGCGTGGTGAACGCCGATCCTTAAGGACTCCTCCTCCTCCGCCTCCGCTTTCTCGGCGAACGGTCCCGCTCGCGCGCGATGGCCGCCGCCGTGGCGGACGACTGCTACAACGAGCTGACGATGAGCATCAACGTCAGCGACGGGGAGGAAGGGCAGCAGCTCCTGAAGGACCTGCTGTGCGAGCGAGGGCTCAAGGGCGCGTCCTCCGCCCGTCGGCCGAAGAATGCGAATTCGTCGTCGTCTCGCGATGATCGATCGATCGATCCGTCCACGCCACGCTCGATCGCCCGCCGTAGTCCGACCCCGCGCTGACGCGTCCATCGCCTTCGTTCTCACCCCACCCCACCCCGTCTTTCGCGCGCCGCAGTGATCGAGGTGTACGCGGAGTGGGCGGGGAGATGCAACAGCGTGATCCCGCTGCTGAAGCGACTCAAGCTGGAGAAGGACTACACGCAGGATTGCATGGTGGTCCTCCACTGCAAAGCGGAGTCGCACGAGCTCTTGGAGGAGTACCGCGGGCGGTCGATGCCGCACTTCATCTTCTACCGAAACGGCGCGAAAAAAGCGGTCGTGGAAGGGGCGAACATGCCCGCGATCGAGAAGCACGTCCAAGCGCACACGCCCAACGCCCCGGACGCGGATGATTTGGAAGAGAACCCGATGTTGATCAAACGGAAGGAAGAGAAAGCCGCGGAGGCGCAGCGGCTTCAAGACGAGCTCAACGCCGCGGCGGGGAAGTGATCTGATCGGGACGGCGGGGACGACGCGACGCGCGCGGGCGAAGGTGAGATGACGAGATGTCAGCGACAGAACGAATCCGTCGAAGGATAGATCCGTCGATCGATCGATCAAACAACATCGCGCGCGCGCGCGACGCGACCGACGCGCGCGTTCCCCTCCCCCGCGCGGCGGTTCGGATCGGATCGGATCGGATCGTTCACCGCAATTAATCACAGCCTCGCCTGCGCGGACTCCCACTCCTTCATCGCCTGCCTGATCCCGAGGTCCATCATGATCTCCTCGGACCCGCCCGGGATGGCGTACGCGCGGACGTCGCGGTAGAGTCGCTCCACCTTCTCGCCGACGCCGCCGCGCGTGTACGACGCGCCGCCGAATATCTGCGCCGCCTCTCTCGCGCAGTACTCGAAAACCTTCGTGGCCTGGACTTTCGCGAGCGCGGTGACCCCCGCGAGAGCCTTCGCGGACTCCTCCCGCGTCATCGTGCACATCTGAGGGCCATTCCATACAAAAATAGTTCATCGGTCAGTTGAAAGGAGACGCGATCAAGTGTTGAAACCGGACGATGGGTGAAATACAGTACGTTTGTATAGAACGCACCTGGTACGTGATGGTTTCCATCATCGCGTGCGTCGCGTCGATCTGCCGAGCCATGTCCGCGAGCTTGGCGCGAATCACCGGGTGCTCGATGAGCTTCTTGCCGAACGTCCGACGGCGGTGCGCGTACTTGAACGCTTCCTCGTAGCACACGCGCGCGAAGCGGTTCGCTTGGACGACGAACCCCCACCGCTCGTGGTTGAAGTTGTGCATCACGTATTTGAACCCCTGGTTTTCGTCGGGGTGGAGTTGAAAGGCGTCAGTTGGCGTTGAAAGGCGTCGAGGGCGGGGATTGAAGGCGAGGGACCCTGGGCGGAGAGATGCGCCGGGCAAAGTCCTTAAGGATCGGCGTTCACCGCGCCGACGCGGTCGTATGAGGACCAGTGTAAGATAGAACGCGCCTGGTTTTCCTCGCCGATCAAATTCTCCGCCGGAACCTCGACGTCGTCAAAGGTCACGAACGTCGTCCCGCTCGCCCACACGCCCATGCAGTCCATCCGCTTCGTCTCCACGCCCTTCATCGTCTTCTCGACGACTAACAGCGATATCCCGCCCATCCCCGGCCCGCCGGTTCGCACGGCGACGGTGAAGTAGTCCGCCCAGATCCCGTTCGTGATCCACTTCTTCTCCCCGCTGACGACGTACTTGGTCCCGTCCGCGGATCTCTTCGCGACGCATCGAATGTTCGCGACGTCGCTCCCCGCCCACGGCTCCGTGATGCACAAACATATCGTCTTCTCGCCTCTCAGAACGTTCAGACCGACGCGGCGTCTCAGGGCTTCGCTGCCGAAGTTCAACACCGGGGGCAGGCCGATGTGGACGCCCTCTAGGAGGCCCCACAGGACGCCGCCCGAGCCGCACCGTCCGAACTCGTCCAAGATGATGAGCTCGTGGAAGTAGTCGAAGCGCTCCGGGGCGGGCACGCTCAGATCGTTCCCCATGCCGCCCGCCCACGGCGCGCCGACGACGCCGGGGAGGATCCCGGCCTCGTAGGTCTTGCGGTACAGCTCCAGCGGGAGGGATTTCTTCTCGTCCCACTCGTGCACGTTCGGGAAGATCTCGCGCTCGACGAACGCGCGGACTCTCGCGCGGAACTCGACGTGGCTCTTCGTGTAGTACGGCGAGTTGAACTTGCCGTACCACGACGGCTGCGGAGGACGGAGACGCGGACGCCACCAGGGATGGACGAAGCGGGGTCAGGGCGACGCGAAGGGAGACGCGTTGTTACCCTAGCTAGCCAGGGCGAACGGAGAGAGGAGGCGCGTCGTCTCGGAAGCGACGATCGCGGACGCGCGCGCGAGAGAGGGGGAGAGACGCGCGATGCGAACGCGGGCGCGAGACGGGACGCACGTCGCCGAAAGGAACGCCCTCGCCGAAAGGCTCCGTGCGCGATGCCGCCATCGCGTCGTCCCCGAGCGTCAGACTCGACCCGGCGCGCCGAATTTGTGACGACGCGACGAGGCTCGACGCGACGTCGCGTCGAGAAGTCTCGACGCGGCACTTTTGATTATCCACTCTGCTCCGAGCGGAGAGATATACAATAGATACTTCACGCGAACGACATCCCCGCTTGTAGTTCTAACTACGCGTACGCGCGACGCACTCCGCTCGCGCTCACACGACGCCTTGCTTCGTCGTCCCCGTCGGCGCCGCGGTCTTGTTCTCCGCCTCCTCGCGTTTCCTCCGCTCCTCCCTTCGCCGCTTTAACTCCTCGATGGACACGCCCCGCAGCTCGCGTCGGTAGTACAGCAGCCAGTTCGCCACCTGCGCGCGTCGCGTCATGTTCGGCGTCAACCCGTCCATGCGAAACCCCTTCCACCCGTAGTGCCGCAGCGTCGTCTTGATCCCCGCCTTGTGCTCCTCCGCGACGGACCTCGTGAGCGCCGCGCACGCGGCTTTGACGGGCGCGTCGATCTCCTGCCAGTACTTCCTCCGCACGCCGATGACATCGGGCGGCTCCGGGTACGCCGCCTTCCACTTCGGGAAGACGTTGTCTGGCGACCACACCTCCTCGCCCTCGAGCGTCTCCATGTCGAGCTCGATGCTCTTCACGTACCCGAGCGCCTCCCACACGAGCTCGTTGACTTCCCGGTCCGGGACCTGCGAGAGGACGATCTTCAGCAGCGTCTCGTTCGATATCGGGTCGTCGCCGTTCGCGGGATCCCACGGCGGGGCGCCGAAGGCGGACTCGTCGATCGGGCAGACGACGTCGCCGGCGGCGTCCACGAGCGCGCCCGCGGTGTCCGCGTACCCGCCCATCGCCTTGGAGGGCTCCTTCGAGTCGTCCTCGTGGCCCGGGTCGTCGCCGCAGCAGTCTGATGAATCCTTCTCGTCGGCGGACGCCGCCGCGCGCGGCGCGACGCCGCGCGCGTCGCGGCCGCGGCGGCGACCGCGGGTCACCGCGCGCGCGCGGACATCGCGACCGCCGTGAAGGCGTCGCCGCGAGAGCGTCGCCGCGCCGGTCGAGACCGACGCGGTCGCCGTGCGTGCGGCGGCGCTCCACATGGATATGAATGAGGGTTTCTCCGAGGCGAGCGAGCGACGACGCAGTTCCACGCCACGTGGAAAGTGTGGCCGGGCGTGCGCTCGCCCGAATCTCGAGGCGCGTGCCGCCGCGCAGTCCTCCCCGCGCCGGGCCGCGACGAGCGAACGCACCGCGGGTTCGACGAGATTTTTCACCGTGCTCACCGTCGTGGACGTCGACAGCGTCAGCGGTCCTGCGCGCGGCGACGATCGGAGGGCGGGGTGGGTTGGGCGCGGGGGGGCGTTTAGCGACGCGCGCGCGAAGGAAAGAAGAGAGGGGCGGCGGCGGCGGCGAGGCGCAAACGCGCGGGGTGGAGAATAGGAGCGCGACGACGACGCGCGAATGCGCGCGACGTTCGCGTTCGCGAGACGCGAGGACGTCGACGTCGTCGTCGTCGCGCGAGCGAGCGAGCGAGCGGCGCGGGCGATGGATCGCTCGGTCGCGCGATCGGCGCGGGGGGAAGCGCGCGCGCACCGATGTCGACGCCCTCCACCATCCGAAACCGCATTTCCACCGTCGACATGGCGTCCGCGCGGTCGCGTCCGACTCCGACGCGATGCCACGACGCCTCTGCGATCTTTTATTCCGAGGGACGACGACAACCCCCGAGCGCCCTCGATAAAACGAACGCGCGTCGCGGATCCCGCGCGGTCTCGCGTCCGCACCGAACGCGCGCGACGACGCCGCGTCCTCAACGTCCTTCTCGCGGTGGCGACGACGACGATTCCGCCGCGACGGCGCGCGAGCGAGGAAGCGACCGTCCGAAGAGGGGCCGGGCGCGGGGTGTTGTCGACACGCTCTGACGGACGAGGCCTCTGACGCACGTGCGGTCGGTCACTCGCGCGGTCAACAAAACAACTTTCGAAAACCGCGAGGAGCGCTCGCGGCAGAGTCTTCGCGCGCACAACGCACGCGACATGGCGGGCCCCATGATGCAGATGCCCGACGGGCGGATGATCGTGCGTTCGCCCTCTTTCGCGTCCTTCCCTCCCGCGCGCCCGCGATCGATCGGTCGGTCGATCGATCGGTCGAGCGATCGCGCTCGCGGCGGCCGACTGTTCGCGAGTCGATGGACGAAGATCTCTCTTCTTCTTCTTTCGCGTTCATCATCGCGCTGACCCCCCGCGCGCTTCCTCCTCCTCCCCCCGCAGCAACCTCAAATCGTGCTCCTCCGCGAGGGCACGGACACGTCCCAGGGGAAAGGGCAGCTCATCTCGAACATCAACGCGTGCATGGCGGTCGTGGACTCCATCCGCACGACGCTGGCGCGTCCACCCCCGCCCCCCCCCTCTGCGAGATCGCGCGCCATCTTAAATGTCTTCCCCCGTCCGCCGCGATCGTCCCTCTGACGTCTCTCTCTCGCGATCCGCAGGGCCCGCGCGGTCTCGATAAGCTCGTGCACGACGATAAGGGCGTGACGACGATCTCCAACGACGGCGCGACGATCATGAAGGTGCGTCGCGAAGCGCCGATCTCGCGCGCGCGCGCGTCGACGCGCCAACAGACGTTTTTCGTATTTCCCACGCTTCGCTGCCGCCGGCGGCCGCGTCGCGCCTCGCCGCGCGCGCTTTTTCCTCCGATCGACCGACGCTCCCGTCCCCATCCTCCTCCCCCTCCCACGCCGCAGCTTCTCGACATCGTCCACCCCGCGGCGAAGAGCCTCGTGGACATCGCGAAATCGCAAGACTCGGAGGTGCGCGCGTCGCCTCCCGCGATCGATCGGTCGATCCCCCGCGATCGCGCGCGAGCGATCGTCGTCCGCTCCGCTCCGCCCGTCCTTCAAAAAAAAAACCGAGCCTCCGACCGAATAACAACCATTCATTCAATTCGTCCGACGATCGGAGATCAGAACGGTCCTCCTCCCGTCCTCGCTTCTCACGCTCTCTCCCCCCGCGATCGCAGGTGGGCGACGGCACGACCACGGTCGTCATCCTCGCCGGAGAGTTCCTCCGCGAGGCGAAGCCGTTCGTCGAGGACGGCGTGCACCCGCAAAACATCATCAAGTGGTTCCGCGCCGCCGCGCGCATGGCGGTGGATAAAGTGCGAGAGATCAGCGTCTCCATCGAGGGCGCGTCGCCGGAGGAGAAGTCCGAGCTGCTCAAGAAGTGCGCGATGACGACGCTGTCGTCTAAGCTCGTGGGCGGCGAGAAGGAGTTCTTCGCGCAGATGTGCGTCGACGCGGTGAACACGCTGGACCAAGGCGCGTTCATATTTCTGTACACTGGTCCCCATACGACCGCGTTCGTGTTGTGAAGTTCATTCCTTAAGGACTTTCTCTTCTCCCGGCGTTTCTCTCCGCCCATGGTCCCTCGCTTTCAATCCCGACACGCCTCGACGCCTTTCAACTCCGCTTCTGACGCCTTTGAACGCCACCCCGACGTCGCTTTGAACGATCGAACGACCCCGACCCAGATTTGCTCGACCCGAGGATGATCGGCGTGAAGAAGGTGATGGGCGGGTCCATGCGCGACTCGTTCCTCGTCGACGGCGTCGCGTTCAAGAAGGCGTTCTCGTACGCCGGGTTCGAGCAGCAGCCGAAGTACTTCGAGAACCCGAAGGTGCTCGCGCTGAACCTCGAGCTCGAGCTCAAGTCGGAGCGCGACAACGCCGAGGTGCGGCTCTCGGACCCGTCCAAGTACCAAGAGATCGTCGACGCGGAGTGGAACATCATCTACGACAAGCTCGAAAAGTGCGTCGCGTCCGGGGCGAAGATCATCCTCTCCCGGCTCGCTATCGGCGACCTCGCGACGCAGTACTTCGCCGACCGCGGCGTGTTCTGCGCCGGGAGGCTTCAGGAGGAGGATCTCGTGCGCGTCACCAAAGCCACCGGGGCCAAGGTACAGACGACGGTGAACGACTTGAACGACGAACAGCTCGGCTCGTGCGCGGTGTTCGAGGAGAAACAGGTTGGGAACGAGCGTTTCAACCTCTTCCGCGGCTGCCCCGCGTCGAAGACGTGCACGATGGTGCTGCGAGGCGGCGCGGAGCAGTTCATCGAAGAGGCGGCGCGGTCGCTCAACGACGCCATCGAGATCGTCCGCAGGGCGGTTAAGAACGCCGCGATCGTTCCCGGCGGCGGCGCGATCGACATGGAGCTCTCCCGTCATCTCCGCGATTACGCGCGCACGGTCGCGGGCAAGGGGCAGCTCTTCATCAACGCGTTCGCGAAAGCCCTGGAGGTGATCCCGCGCCAGCTGTGCGACAACTCCGGCTTCGACGCGACGGACGTGTTGAACAAACTGCGGCAGAAGCACGCGTCCGGCGACCCCTCGGGCGCCAACTACGGGTTGAACGTCAACGACGGCGGCATCATGGACACGTACGAGGCGTTCATATGGGAGCCCGCGCTCGTGAAGATCAACGCCATCTCCGCCGCGTGCGAGGCGACATGTCTGGTGTTATCCATCGACGAGACGGTTAAGAACCCGCGGAGCGAGGGAGCGGACGGGCAACCGATTCACGCGCCGGGAGGGCGGGGCGGGCGCGGCGGAAGAGGACGCGGACGCGGACGCGGACGCGGGATGCGACGCTGATGGAGCGGCGGACTGGACGGGGGGTTGATTCTTGGCGGCGGGGGCGCGAGGGGCGACGACGTAGACTGTGAGATTTGTGAGAGAGCGAAGCGAGTTCTCGGACGACGTTTTATGTTCCGACCCCCTTCGCGTCGTCGCGCGCACTCCCGGGCGCGCGTCGCCGCGCGATGTCGACCGCGGCGCTCGCGTCGACGTCCGCGCGGACGCGCGCGCGGCGGCCCTCGCGCGCGGCGGCGGTCGGCCGTCGCGCGCGGCGTCGCGGCGTCGTTCGCGCGATCGCCACCGCCGCCGACGACGCCGAGGAGGAGGACGCCGTCAACTCGTCCGCCGCCGCGCCCGCGGAGAAGGAGGAGGCTGTCGTCGCGTGGGTCGTCCGCGCGGCGACGCGCGACGACCTCGACGCGCTCGTCGCGACCGCGGCGCTCTCCGGCGTGTCGTGGACCGCGTCGCAGATCGAGGACGAGCTCGAGAACGCCGTCGCGCGCGTCCTCGTCGCGTCGGCGCCGGAGGAGGACGACGATCTCGCCGACGACGCCGACGTCCCGCGCGCGTCGTCGTCGTCGTCGTCGTCGTCTTCTTCTTCCTTCGCCGGCCTCGCCGTCGCGTGGTCCGTCGCGGGCGAGACGCAGATCCTCGAGGTCGCGACCGCGCCGTCGCGTCGCCGCCGCGGCGTCGCCACCGCGCTCGTGCGCGCGGCGCTCGACCTCAACCCGACGGGCGAGGCTTTCCTCGAAGTCCGCGCGTCCAACGACGCCGCGCTCGCGCTGTACGCCGCCCTGGGGTTCGCGCGCGTCGGCGCGAGGAGGGCGTACTACGCAAACCCTGTCGAGGACGCGGTGCTCATGCGCCGCGCGCCGCCGGTCGTCAGCGCGCGCGAGCTCACGCGGTTGATGGCGGGGCTGTCTCCGGCGGAGGCGAGGAAGCCGCCGCCGACGGCGAGGGGAGAGGAGGAGGCGCGCGACCCGTGGACGCCGCACCCGCAGGATTTGCCGCGGGACCGGCCCGCGTTCGTGAGGCGCGATAGCGGCGCGGAGGGCGGCGGCGGCGGCGGGTTTAAGTTTAGGAGCCGCATATCCAAGCGGTGACGAGAGGTGATGGATGTAATATTATTCTAGATCGATAGTGATGAGGCGCGCCGCTCCTCGCGTCGTCCTCTCCGGCCGACGGCGTCTCATCACAGCTCGTCCCTCGTCGACAGCCGCGGGCACGCGCGCGTCAGCCTGACGCACACGAGATCCTTCAGCCCGTCCACGCCGTCCGCGAACACGTGCTCCTCGATGTCCTCCTCGTGCGTCTCCACGATCGTCTCGCACGCGCCCGCGATGTCGAACCCCGCGCGCGTCATCGCCGCGCGCTTCTCCTCGTCCTCTCTCTCCTCCGACGCGCGCAAGAAGGCGCACGCGCCGCCGAGCGCGTCGCGTATCTTCGTCTCGCTCCTGCCGTGCGTCAGCGACCGGCGGCGTCTCGCCGCGTTTCGCGCGTTCGTCGCCTCCGCGTCGCCCTCGGAGGAGAACGTCGTCTGATCGATCCGTCGCAGCGCGCGCTCGATGTGCGTGACCGCGGACGCGCACGCGGCGCACGTCACCGGGACGGCGTCGTCGATGCGCCTGGTCTCGTCGCGGAGGTACTCGGTGTCCGCGCGCGCGGTCGCCGCGGCGGCGAGGAGGAGGACGAGGACGAGGGGGAGGGAGAGGAGAGGGGAGCGCGCCATCGCTGTGGCGCGTAACAACGGCGAAAGCCGCGAGCGAGCAGTTCGAAAATGAATGGCGAAGATCTCAGACGCGTCGCCGCGCGTCCCGCGCCGGGCACGCGTCGATCGTCATGTGGCGCCGCGCGGGGTCGCGGCTGCTCGCCGCCGCGTCCCGCCAGCGCGCGCCGCCGCCGCCGTTCTCCCTCGACGTCGCGCTGTCACGCGGTCGGCGCCGCGCGTTCGACTCCCCCGTCGCTTCGTCTTCACGACGCGCTTCGTCGGGTTCGTCGGGTTCGTCGTCGTCGTCGTCGTCGTCGTCGCGCGGGTTCGCGTCGAGCGCCGCGCCGTCGCCGTCGCCGACGGCGTCGCCCCCCGTCACGCGCCGCCAACTCCGCGAGGTCTTCCTCTTCAGCGCCGTGCCGTTCGTCGCGTTCGGGTTCGTGGACAACACCGTGCTCATCCACGCGGGCGACGCCATCGACTCGACGTTCGGCGTCGCGCTCGGGCTGTCCTCGCTCGCCGCGGCCGCGCTCGGGCAAATCTTCAGCGACACGAGCGGGGTGTTGTTCGGAAGCACGATCGAGGGGTTCGTGCTGCGGTGCGGGCTCGCGGCGCCGTCGCTGACGCCGACGCAGCAGCTCGCGCGCGGCGTTCGCGTCGCGTCGACGCTCGGGAAAGTCTTCGGCGTGGTGCTCGGTTGCTCGCTCGGCCTCGTGAACCTCCTCGTCGTCGACGCGCGCGCGACGGAGAAGGCGAAGGAGGAGAAGGAGTACGACGCCATCTTCAAGGCGATCATGGACAAGGGCCACGAGATCGCCGCGTGCGACGCCGCGACGCTGTGGATCGTGGACGAGACGAGTGGGGAGATGTGGTCGAGGGCGTCCGTCGGGAACGCCGCGGAAAACGTCGTCGTTCGGCGGCCGCTCGACGTCGGCATCGTCGGCGCGGTGGCGCGCGGCGGATTGCTGTCGAACGTGGCGGACGCGTATGCGGACCCGGACTTCGACGCGAGCATCGATCGAGACGGGATCACGGGGTTCACGTCGCGGACGATACTGACGTGTCCGGTGAAGAGCGCGCGCGGGGACGTCGTCGCCGTCGTGCAGATGGTGAACAAAAGTCCACCAGATTCGGCGTCGGAGAAAAAAATGTCGGAGAAGAAACGGTTCGGGCGGTTCGGGAGGCGACACGCGCGAGGCCCGGTGCCGTTCGACGAGACGGACGAGAAGCTCGTGCGGATGATGTGCGAGCACGTCGCCGTGTCCATGGCGGCGATGGAGCACACGCTGACGTGAGCGACGTGCAGGTAGCGAGAAGGTATTTTTTCCCCGGGCGGGGCGCCGAGCGGCGACGCGAGTTAGCGAAGGTGAGGTAGATAGAACACGATGCGCATTGATTGCATACGAAAACGAAAACGAAAACGAAACCGGAAACGAAATCGTCATCAGTACGTCGGCTCGACGAGCCTTCGACCGGGCGAAAACGTCGTCTCCCCGAACGAGATCCGATAGTCTCGCAGCCCCTCCCCCGTCGTCCGCTCGCTCGTCGCGGTCGCGCCCCTCGGCCCGAACAGCCCCGTCTTCGCGCCGCCGAGGGTGTTCGTAGGCATGAAACGCCCTTGAGGGAGCCGTTTCACGGTCAACACGTTCGGCATCTTATTCGCGCTCCCGCGCGTGTACCCGTCGTGGATGTCTGGCAGCTCCGTCGCCGTCGTCTTCGCGCGATGAGAATACTCGTACTCGAAAGACGCCTCGGGGGCCGACCCGGACTTCTTCGCGAGCGTCACTCCTGTCGTCGGCGGCCGCCATCTCGGCAGGTTTTTCACCGTCCCGTTGTTCTCGCTGATCATCGCGTACTCCGGCTGCCACCTCGGCGGCGCGATCTCTTCGTATCGGCGCCCGACGTGCGCCTCGAGATCCAGCCGTTTCTCTTTCCTCCGGTTCGTCATCTCTCGCACGCGCGCGCGCTGTCTGAGCACCGTCTCGCGCCTGCGAAGCTCCGCGGCTTCGATCTTCTCGTCCCGCCGCGAGAGGTTGTCCACCATGGCTCTGTGGTACGTCGCCGGCGAGCCCGCGACGGGGCAGTACTGCTCCTCGACGACGCGGTCGTACCGCGCGGAGGAAGGGGAGACGTTCGAGTGCGGCGTCCTGCTCTCCTTGTACATGTAACTCCTCTCTCTGTACAGCGGCGCGCGCGCGCCGGCGCCGTCTTTGGAGAACCCGGGGGTCAGCCGGATGACGAATTTCGGTGCCGCTCTCGCGTCCGGGTCGTCGCGTAACGCCTCGAGATCGGGCGTTTTCACGCGCTCGCCGTACGCGTCGCGGTACGTCCCGGACGCCTCCCTGACGAGCGTCCGGTGCTCGCCTCGCGTCGGCGACCCGTCCGCCCTCACCGCTTGATGCATCGGCATCATCGTCGCCGCTCGCGCGAATTGCGGCGGCGGCGGCGGCGCGCGCTCCGCGAGCGCGCCGTCGCCGCCCGGATTCGGTTTGTACCCGCCGTGCGTCAGCGCGACGCGCGCGAGGCACTCGGTGAACTCGTCGTACGACAGCGCTCGCTCGTCCGAGTCTCTCCTCGCGCCGTGGTTCGCCTTCCGAAAGATCCGCATCGCCTGCACCTCGGACACGAGATCCGGAAACACGCGGAAGTCGAGGAGGAAGCGCTTCCACTCCGTCTTGCTCATGCCGCCGTCCTCGCGCGCGACGTCGCTCCAGCGCAACCGCCGCGCCGTCCCCCGCGGCTTCTCCGCGACGATGAGCTCGGTGGCGCTGGGGTGGAGTTGAAAGGCGGGGTGGAGTTGAAAGGCGTCGAGGGCGGGCGTTGAAAGCGAGGGGTGGGCGGAGAGAGACGACGGCAAAAGTCCTTAAGGATCCGCGTTCACCACGCGAACGCGGTCATATGGGAACCAGTGTATAGAACGCACCTGTAGTGATGAAACATCCGCTTCAGCTCTCTCTCGTGCTCTCTCAGGAGGTGACGCACCCCGGAGCATCGCACCGCGTCTCGGTGCGCGTCCTCGCTCGGCTCGCTGACGCGCGCCGCGCACGGCAGCACGCACTCGTCGACGAGAATCCGCACGGCGTCGCCCGCGCTCAGCGTGGCGCCGCCCTCGCGGAGCCGGCCCTTGGAGCGCGTCGTCGACAGCGACCGCGAGTACGCGTCGGACGTCATCTTCGAACTCGGACGCACGCGCAGCGCGCCGCGGGATGGGGAGAGGAACGACGCCTCCCCGCGCGCGGCGAGTTCCATCCCGGTCGGGAACGGTGCGCCGCGCGACGGCGACGGCGACGGCGGGGAGGCTGCCGCGCTCGGCGAGTCGCCGCCGCCGCGACCGCCGCCCTCGTCGGTGTAGTTGGCCGTGCGAGCGCCGTCGAATTCGCCGTCGTCGTCGCCGAAGGGAGACGGCGCGAATTGCCCGGGCGACGGCGACGGCGACGCGTCCGCGGTGAGCCGCCCGCCGACGACGCGCACCGTCGCCGTCGTCGTCGTCGGCGCGCCCGGGACGCCCGCGCCGCCGCCGCCGAACGCGACGCCGCTTCCCGATGTCGGATTCCATTTTCGATCCACCTCGAGGACGTCGTCGTACATCGCGAGCGCGAGCGCGCCGAGCGCGCCGAGGAACTCGTGGAACGAGAGGCGGCTTCCCTTGACGTCGCCGCCGCCGATCGCCGCGGTCTTCACGACGTGATCGAAGACGAGGTCGACGGCGACGCGATCGTCGCCGTCGACGACGAGCCCGCAGTCTCGCGCGAACCGCAAAAACTGCGTCCGCGAGAGGTACGTGTAGTTATCCTTCGTCCCGACGCTCGCGTAGTGCTGGAATATCGGCCGCAGCTGGTCCTTGAGCAGCGGCGACGGGACGTACCCGATGTCGCATTTCGCGTCGTTGAGGTACCGCCGCGCGCGCGGCGCGGCTACTTTGTTCGGGTAGACGCCGCGGTGCCCCGCGCCGCCGTCGTAGTTGGAGTTCTCGAACCGATTGTGCGCGTGACGGTTCGTCTTCGCCTCGACGCGGTTCTGTGGGCGAGAGATCGAGTGGGCGAGGGAGGGGGCGCGCGGGTTGGGGTGGGGGAGATCGGTCAGCAAGACTCCT